TTATCCTAGACTGTGAGAAAACCTGCAAGAGGCACAAAGGATGAGAAAATACAGTGAATTTATTCACCTGGCTCCACATTTGCTGGCTCCCCTGAAGAAAGGTCTCTTCTGCCCTTTATGTTATATAGGGCCTGTTAAAACAAATATTGACTGCTTTTCATTTAAAATAGGGAAAACTTGCACAGCTTGAGTTGAAAGGATTTGATTGATACATGATAAGGTTTCCTGGAAGTCTTTGGAATACTAGGTATGATAAGCGTTTTCTATAAAGTCTTCTAAACGTCACTATCAGTTTTTGGTAAGAATCAGCATTTTAATATAACCCTTAAGTTTTTGAGCTTTGCAAATCTTTTCAGATCTATAGATTAGCATAAAGCTGAAGACTTTTTATCTAGTAGAAATCTCACAGTTGAAGGGAAAAAATAGCAAATGTTTCAGTTTGTTAATAGCGAATTGTAAAATATTATTAATTAATTTTCTCTTAGAAAATAAAGCAGTTTAAACTTATTTCTATACTGCAGCTTTTATCCTTTTAGTGACCTGACTAGGATTGTTTTATTAGTATTGTGAAGAAAGTACCTTCTGCAAATTCTGAAAGAAATTTTCTGTTTTTCTCATATTAAAGCAAAATGTAGTATTATATCCAAAAATGGTTTTTCTAATTTTGTTTGTTTTTAATATTTTAAATTACTCCTGTGTATTCACAATTAGAAAAAGAGTTTCTTTTGAGAGTGCTAGTAGCATGTTATAGAAGCTTTATTTAACTGGAGAATCAAATTATTGACCTTGATTGTCAGTAATTAAGAAGCTTGGTCTTTTCAAGAAATTTTAAGTGCTTAAAGGAGTTTTTCTTCCAAGATGCTTCTTTCAAGCATCTGTAGATAAGATACTTACCTTTTCTTTGATATATTGGTAAAATTAACACTAGTTTGTGGAATTTAGAAGATAGAGCTACACCCAAAGAACTTATAGAATTTTGTCTGTTATTTTTATACAAATACTGTAGTGATGGTGCTCATGCTGTTGGGTGTGCTCCTGTGTACAGTTTTTTCTCTAGCGTAGTCTTTATTCTGGAGTTGTTCCTCTCAGATAACTTTGACAGGCTATAGCCAAGTAATTTGGATCTTGAAAGCACTTATTTATCTGAGTACATTTATTGGTTACTCTCCTTAGTGCCTTTAAAATATCTAAGCTGTAAGGTTCACAATAAAAATCATAAAATTCTGATGACGTTTTCACTGTTACTTTTTTGGTCACCTGTAATAGTTTCTTGATGCACTTTTCAGGATTCGTTTTTCCATATGCTCTCGGTGTAGAGGCAGACCTTTTATACATGTAGATGACAGCACTAATCAGTGTCCTAAATTGTAGCAGTGGTGAGCAGAATAAGCATATTTTCCATTTTGTTCTCAGTGGTGATTTAAAGTTTCAGAATTAAACTTCATATAATAGGATCAGACTTTTATAGCTAAAAAAGACTTTAAAAATTGCATAGTTGCAAGCCCTAATTTTTACAGGTGATAAAGCACCTATTATGACTCCTTAAGCTAGCTGCAAAACCCCATACCAATTGCATAGCCATGAGAACCTTGAGTAGAATTAAACCCTTCCCCAGTTTCAAATATGGGGAACAGTTGTTAATATCAGCACAAATGAGGGCAGAGAGGCTGTAATCCTATTTGTTAAAAGGCTCTTAAAATTTTCCATCGAGAAAAAACCATAGGCACTTCATTTCTAGAGAAAATTTACTGTCAAGAAAAAACATAACTTCTCGTAACTCATATTAATGCAGTATTAAGTTTGCAGAAGACAAAGTCAGATGCAATTTTACAAATACTTTAGTTTGTCACACCTGAAAAATGTCCCATTGCGAGCTAACATTCTAATGAAAAAACTGAAGTGTGTGTATACAGTTAAACACTGTCCTCAGCTGGATATCAAGGGACAGATAATGTAGGTTTTCAGGGAAAATATGCTAAATACTACTGTTCAGTTGCATATAATCTGCATGTAAATCAGAGCATGATATTATGAAACTTCATAATTATTCTCATTTATAACCATATATTTTCCATGAGAAATAGACATATTTCTCTTAAGCACATCAGGAGGTATTGCTATCATATTGTGAGGTTAAACAATCAAGAGAAAATAAACTGACTTCTTGTAAGATATTTTAAAACCTTTTGCTGATTTTGTTACAGAAAATGTTTTTCTGTTTCATCTTTTTTTTTGGTTCTTTTTAGTAATGCTTTGTTATCAAAACCACTTCATATTTGTTAATTCTTTTGTGGGGTAAAAATTTAAAAGGAATCTGAATCTTCCAGGGTTTTTTAAATATACTTGATTTCTGACAACTGAAATTTAAAATGTTTTCACTAATTTTCTCTTCAAAGGATAATTCTATTAATTTCCTGTAAAATAACTCATCATAAGACCTTTCTTTTTGACAGAAAAAAGGTTCAAAATGGTAGGGAGTAAAACCCATTTGAGTTAATGGCCTCTTTGCTTGCTGGGCAGTGTCTGTGTGCAGTGCTGAAGCTCCCTCTTTTGGCCACTCAGCAGAAACACGCCTTGCAGATGTGTTACAGATGCCCTTATTCCCGGGGGTGGACTGCTGTTCTAGCTTCCTGCTGCTGTGACCTACTTGCTGGTACTTCAACACCACCAGTTAAGAACTTAGTTCATGTTATCTTTCTTTTACTGATATCCGAGAAAATTATGCTATGGTTTCTAATAGAAGAACAGCATATTCTTAATTCAGGGAAAGATAAATCAGTCTTTAACAGTTTAAGAATCTGAGTTACTTAAATTAAGCTACATAAATACCTTAATCTTAAACAACTTAGATTAAAGTTGTAAACAATCAGTTATATAGAAAAACTTTTTCTGAAAATTTACTTAATGATAATTATATTTTTTGTAAGAATGGTATATAGTGTACTTTCAGGAAACTAGGAAGTCTTTTCCTTTTTAGTCAGAAATTTAAAGTCCTGAAACCTTCAAGAGTAACATGTAACATTTTAAATTAAAGCATTCGTTTCTTGTACCTTTTTATATACATTTTAATATAAATTATAAATTTTTATATAAATGTTTAATGTGATACTAAGTTCAAGCCTCTTTATACTTTGAAGTTGTTTCAGAAAATTGGTATTTTGATATTAACTTCCTGAATTCTATATAGAATATATAGTAGTGCTGACTATATGAATTCCTCTTTAATGTAGAAAAAATCAGTTATAAAAAGTACTATTTTTCCATTGTTTGTATTTTTTACCCTGAATTACATTTATTTTGTTTTCTTAAAATTATTTAAACCTTCGTATTTTAAATATGTTTACCAAAGTAGAAATGCATGTAAGTAAAGCATTTAGCACAATAGTTGAAACACAGTTTAAGTCTTCAATAAAATTGTATTCCACTAAAAAAAATCTGTTCAAATGACTTAATTTCTATTTCTATAAAACCTACCTGGTAGAATTTGTGAGAATACAGGAGATAGCACCGTAAGTTGCTCATGATAGGACGATCCCATAAAACAGGCTCTCCATAGCACTTTTTACTGTATTTTGCTTATTTATTTATTGTTTTATTTTGTGCCTCCACCACCATAATGTAAACACCTGAGAACAAGGCCTTATCTTTTATTCATCATCTTATCCCCAAGGTCTGTACAGTTCCTGGCACATAGGAGCTGTCCAATAAATAATTGTTCAGTGTTACTGAATAGCTAACATTATCAGTGGCATAAAATTATTATTTTACAAACATGTTTTATTTTTTGCACCTGAAAACAAATATGTAAGCTTTTAATATTTTATTAATTTATGAAATAAGGAATAGGGTTTTTATTGACTAATTTAGGATCAGTGTCACTCCGTGTATTTTGAGGGAGTTATTGCAAAAGTCCAGTAACTGGACCAAGATACAGTGTTTAACCCTTACCCCGGAAAAAGTAGTTTCTGACCCGGAGACTGGCAGGACTTGATGCAGTTAGCATTTTAAAGCATGAGAGTTGAAGGGGAGAAGAGGAATGAGTGAGGCCTTTCGGGAGAGAGTGGAAAATAAGGCAGGGAGGTGTGTGATGCACTTTCACAGGGAATGTTTAGTGTCCTGTGCTCGGAAAGCACTCTAAATGTTCATTGAGTTCAGCTTGTTGGAAGATGCTCAACTGAAGAGCTCAGAGTGGGCGGGGGTTATAGGCACCTCTGTCTATTGAACGGAACATTTTACCACTTAAAGTGAATAAATGTGTCTTAATAACACATTTAGCAACGTGAGATTCCGTTCCTAATAGCTCTTGATACTCATTTTAGAAAAAAATGTTTCCTGGTTGTAAGAATGATTTGGGTTGGAATTCTGGGGACATTTTGGAATATTTCAGTGATATTAATCCAGGACAATGAGAATTTCTTGACAGTAGTGACATATGAGGCTCCTGGAATAGAAACTGTGAGGTGAAGAGGATCCACACAAGCTTGGCTGGCACTGGCATCAGGAATAGAAATCCCTGATAGAAATCCCAGATTCCGCATCCCAAAGAAAGAAAGAAACAGGATTGGAGATTTAAGTTTTAAGGGAGAAGTCAAAGATTTGTGCTGTGGATCTGCTCCATTAAAACTCAGACCTCTGTGTCTTCCCTTCCCAGTGCCAAGTAGTTTTTCAAAAGTGGTTTCTCTCGTGCTGGTTTTTATGTTCTAGAACATCCCCCGCCCCAGCTTTACTGAACATCCATTCTAAAGGGCCATAAAGGCTTCACTCCATGATTTGTTGCATCTCTGTATTAATCCAAAGTAATGGATTGAATCCTCCAAATCCTACATGGTGGGACTGACTTTTAAAAGCTATTTAGAGGAAATATTTTTTATTTTACTTAGTAGATGCTGTATTTAAAGGAATGGAAAAATGAGCAAGAAATAACTCAGAGAAGCAGTCTTTTAAATGAAATTAACTAAGTATGAATAGATAGAACTGACAGAATGTCCCCTCTCTTCCAGGTACTGCAGGCCTGCACGGTCCCGTGGTGGACCTGGATAGCGATGTGCGGCCCTCAGCACTGGGCCATCTGAGCCAGACAGCGTCGCTGAAGCGGGGCAGCAGCTTTCAGTCTGGCCGAGATGACAGTAAGTGTCTCTCTTTATGCCCATTTTGTCTTTTAAATTGATACTTGTGTAATTTAAAACATTTTTCTCTTGGAAATTTCCATAATTAGTTCTATTACTACTGCTAAATATTACCAATCCTCATCTCTTCTTATTAAGTAACTACCCAGTAATTAAATTTAAATAATTAAAATGCATCTTACGTTGTACATTAAATACATGCCATTTGATTTCTTAATAAGTCAGTAGCCACAGGTTAGTATTATTCAACATATTAGGTTAAGAGTCTAGTTTTATTTTTGCTGTGGTTTAATTTTTAAAAATATGCCACAGAAAAAATTCTGTGAGAACTTATTCAAGATGAATTTTGCAACAAAGTAATTTCTGTAGTCAATACAGAGAAAGACATCTTACTAATGAATTTTAAAATTTGGTTTGGAAAGAAGGATTTATTGTTAATCAGAAATTAATTGTTAGTCTTTTTTCATGAGATAAGGCATCTCAGATTGTACTATGTTACATTTCTAAACTTTGTAAGGTTGATATTTACCTATTGTTTATTTACCTATATGAGATTTAAAATATATTGATTCTAATGCATTTGTGTGCCAGTTAGATGCTCTTAGTCACTGGTATTTCTGATTCTAACCTCAATAATAGAAATTAAAAAATCCAAATAGAGTAATAGAAATACCTTTCTTTATACTAAATTCAGATACCTCTAAAGTTTATTTGGAAGTATTTCATGTTATTCTTACAAGTATTGAAGTAGGGAATTTTTTTAAGCTTTCGTTAATAAATATGAATGAATGTTCATCCTAAGGACAGCTTGCCATTATTGGTTAATTCTGTCATCTCCATTATTTCTGGATTTGTTACTGTTGACTAATTTTTTTCCTGGTGCCTGGTTGTGGTTCACATTTCCCTGCCTTTTGGCATGGCTAATCGTGTTTTTATTGTTTCGTGTTTTTATTGTTTCCCAGACACTGAATATCCAGTGTCGAGTGTCAGGGTTTTGTTGCCTTACTTTGAAGAGCCCTGGACTTGGTTTTATCAGCTGCTTGCAGTAAGTTTGATCCATTCAAAACCTGTTGCAAGTTTGCTAGAGCAGGTCTAGAGTTGCCTTCATTCTAGGGATACTTCAGCCCTACAACTGAGGTAGGATCTCTTAGATCTCCACTGAATGGCCCAGGTAATTGGCAAGGACTGTTCCCTCAGGCTGTTGAGAACTAGAAAGTCTCCCTGCCTATGTGATCTCTGGGAATCTTTTTTTTTTT